GTCCCAAGTTGAAAATAGCAAATTACAACAACTTGGATTAACAGAAAATATACAAACTCTATTTCAACCAATATTAAAAACTCAAGAGGATATTAAAAATAAATTAGCTTTAGAACCTACACCCACGCCTCATATAGAGAAACCCGATCCAAAACCGATTGAATATAGTGGTATTATCTTAAGGTCACATAATGACTTAAAACATTATTTTTCAAACCCTGAACCAGATTTACCAAAGAGTATTAAACCAATCGTTGATGAAAGGGAGTTAATGTTTAATGGTTTTAGAATGGTTTTGTATTTATAATCGCTACAAAAGATTTTATATACACATTAACAGAAGGATTAATAGATTTAATGAATGGCGGGGATGTTCGTATTGCCAATTACACTGATTTAGTAGCATACTCAAAATTTCTACATACAATTAGAAAGTCAGGACCCAAAACAAAAGGATTGAAACAGGTTGAAATAAATTTTAAAAAAAGTTATTGGTGATGAATATGAAGTTGACGAAGCAGATGGTACTTCAATCACACAAGAAATAGACGAATTCGAAGACAATTACGATGACAATTATTACGATGATCAACTACAATGATGTCGATTACAGCGATGACATTATAGAGGAAATCGATGACTTTTTAGGGCATACAGGAGAAGGTATAACCTTTTTATCCGACAAAAACGAGGAACTACTTAATAGATTGAAAATAATATTAGCTGCAATGAAAGAAGATCATCAATCACACAGACAATATAATGAAGTAAAATGAATATGTAAAAGACTCCTAGAGAAAGGTATTATAGATAAAAATGATTATGAAAATGTTATAAAAAATGGGAAATAAAGAACAACTTTACTATTCGTTATCACCTCAAATAAATCAGACATTAAATTATCTCTAGATTATGAGTATGAACTCAATCACAATCAAGAATATGAATTGGGATTAAAGTATTTTTCAGTTTACAATTCCATTAGAAATATCCTCGAAAATAATAACCAAATACAAATATCAACAGATAATGGAGTTACATTCAAAACCATAAGTTTACTACCAGGAAACTATGAATACATAGCCATCAATGAATACCTATCTGGTAAAAACAATTTTGAATTCGAAGGTAATTTGAATCTGAACAAAATAAAATTGATATTGAGAAATAAGAGTCAACTTGATTTCAATGTAGAAAATTCATTAACTACTTTACTAGGCTTTGATAAAAAAAAAATATTTAAGGAATCAACATTAGCACCACACAAAGCTAATATCGAGAATGACATTGATGTAATAAATATACATTGCGATTTGATAAACGGTGGATTTTTCAATAAATACAAACGTCAAATTATTTACAGCATTCCAACATTGACTGTACCAATTGGATATGGAATTATAGAGAAACCATTTCAAACAACATATTTACCACTTAATTCGTTCATGATTAAAAATATAAATCTCGAAATCAAAGATGGTAAAAATGGGTTTATTGACTTTGGAAATGAGGAAATTGTAATTCAACTTCATTTAAAACAAAAGAACTAAATTTTATTAAGTAATTAAACCATCTTCATCCTCTTCTTGAATAGTAAGGTATCGAAATCATTAATTTCATAGTTTTCATCCAAACTCACTTCACCTTAATCACAATAAGGATACACGATTCCTTCGCTGTCCGGTGCCTTTCTCTTAACGAGATTCAAATAACTTCTAAAAACTTTCTTTTGTTTATCACCATCCTTTGGAATAAATATTCCATTGGTGAAACGCTTTTCCCATCGTTTCTTAAATTTTTTCGTGATATCATGTCCACTAGCTAATTGAATATAATCTTCTACATAATATAATACCATCAGAAGTTAGAATGATATTATTATACTTTTGGCGCTAAATATAAACCATATATAATTCCACCATCACCGTAATCATTCCTTCCTTTACAATCATCATTTTCAGATACCAACCCAGCTTCATTTAATTAATCCCATGTATAAACTATCAGTATCTGTATAGTATATTTCCAGATTACAAAATCCATCTATGACACGAATAAAATTATTCCTTATTCAAATGACTAGGTGTTATTCGTGTAGATTTAGGAGGTGTACAGTCAAATTCATTTTCTTCTCCATTTATCTCAACGATATATTGAGTCTCATTTACTTTAGGATAGCTTTTGACATGTGAATCGAAGTTGGCTTTTAAAGTTGCTTAACTCCATAGATGTCTCGATGTAGTTACATCCTTCTGAATAGATTTACCATGCAAGGAATTACCTAATAATTTCATGCAATTACTACCCACAATATTACCTTCTCGTTTATATTTATTTCTTAGATCTCTCCAAATTAAAATGTAATCTCTATATGTTTGAGTTTTAAAATTTTCTTCATATACTATACCATCTAATATCTTGAGTATTTTACCACCAGCTTTAACTATTTCTTGAATATCGACCTATGTTAAAACATCTGAACAGAAACCATTTCTAAACCTGATTTTAGTACCAGTTTCCTTTTTACCGTCTTTGTTCGTAAAGTAATTTTATCTTTAGCTGGTATGGGTTTTAGGATATTCAAACCAGACTTTTAAAATAGCTGTTGTAAGTCTGAATTTTTGCTCATTAAAGAGCTTAACAAATTCTTTATTTTCTTCAGGTAGAAAAAGTATAAATCTAACATGGCGGAAGCATACAAACCGTTGGCGTCGAACGCCATTAGTTTTGTACATTTTAGTTTTTAATTCCGTTTTATCTTTATTTACTATATTCTTTAAATAAATCAATTATATTACTACTGTCCAGTTCTGTACATTCCGTTAATACATTACAAATTTCGTCCATTTTTCCCCCTTTAATGGATTGTCTGATAAAAATGTCTTATAAAAGGGTGACTATATGAGTAAACTTTTTCTATATTTTCCTCCTCAGTGTGTTTTGGAACCATTCTATTAGTTTCATACCATTCTTCTTCAACCATATATTTGTCGTAATGTTATAAATAATACCAACTCTTTAAATAGAGCGAGGGAGCCGTTAGATTATTGGAAATATTATGGAATAAAACTTCTTTCATAACTTTGATATATTTTATCAAACAAGCTCCAAGACATAGGGCATCCCTTTTTTGCATCTGGTTCCCATTCATGTCTTTAAGATTCCCAATTATCTTCGGTGTATTTAGCAATATCGATATCAGTGATCTTTCTTAAATTCATTAGTAGATTAGATGAATTTCCCCATGCCGCCAAACTAGATTTTTCATGTTGATAGCAACATATGAAATTAATATTTTGCAGATAATTAGAGTAGCAAATTATTTGTTTTCGTCTTTTCCACTTTTTCTGTAAATATTCATCGGTGAATGAATTAGTTAAAGGTAGAGATCGAATACCTCTAGCTGTTACTAGTGGACATTGTGTTAGTTTATTTGCATTTTTAAGCACAACCCAGTTATCAAAACCGCTACCGTTATGATAAATCAATGTTAATTTTTTTTTATCTACTTTTCCTAAGCATTGCAACATTTGATCAATACAATCTGTTCCTACAAATATTTTTACTTTATTCATTGGTTTATTGTAAAATTCTTCTGGAATGGGATCAGTTGGCTTTAAATCTGGAAAGAGATGATTTACATCATCTTACATTTTTCTTAGTGTTTCCAAATTGACTAAGGTGAAGGAATAAGGAATTGCTTTATTCGTTTCTTTTTCGCTATAGGTTTCGCAATCCCATGCGTATAAACATTCATCATGAATTGTTGGAAAAACATTTGGTTTTAGAGGTGAAACTTGTATTACTGCATTATCGTCTGCATGTTATCCATACATTTTCATCGAAATTATCTTCTATTTCTATAATACCTTAATATGAAGTTAATATTTTACAGATAATTAGAGTTGCCAATTATTTGTTTTTGTCTTTTCCACTTTTTCTGTAAATATTCATCGGTGAATGAATTAGTTAAAGGTAGAGATAGAATACCTCTAGCTGTTACTAGTGGACATTGTTTTAGTTTTTTTTTTGCATTTCTAAGCACAATCCAGTTATCAAAACCGCTACTGTTATGATAAATCAATGTTAATCTTTTTTTATCTACTTTTCCTAAGCATTGCAACATTTGATCAATACAATCTGTTCCTACAAATATTCTTACTATATTCATTAGTTTATTGTAAAATTCTTCTGGAATGGAACCAGTTGGCTTTAAATCTGGAAAGAGATGATTTACATCATCTAACATTTTTCTTAGTTTTTCCAAATTGACTAAGGTGAAGGAATAAGGAATTGCTTTATTCGTTTCTTTTTCGCTGTAAGTTTTGCAATCCCATGCGTATAAACATTCATCATGAATTGTTGGAAAAACATTTAGTTTTAGAGGTTAAACTTGTATTACTGCATTATCGTCTCTACAAGTTCTCTATACATTTTTGTCATTTATTGCATTGTTCTAGTTTTAGTTTTAACTCATTTTGTTTTTTTATCATGTAGTTTTATCTGCTTTCCATTTTTAAGGTAATTGAATTAATTGAATTTCTGATAAACCTTTGTATAATCTCGACGACTACACTCACAAGCGATATTTCTTGTTTTGATTCCTTGATTTTGTTCAAATGAATTGAAAAATTTGGTTTTGCAATATTGATTAACATAACACAAATATACATTATCATCTCTTATTACTGGTTTTTAAAAAAATTTGTTGTATTTGGCTTTTTTAAATATCAATTGAGGTAAATATATCATTATTAACAAAATATAGTTTTACTTATTATAGAAACTCCATGTTTCCCCTTTAATTTGTGGTTCTGGATTTCTAATATTATTCAGTGATGGTGGAGTTTCCGTCTCCAATATCATATCAAAATCACTCAATCCAAGAAAATTAAATTTTTCTTTATCTGATATGATTTACATTCTAAACCTATCTGTATATTTTCCACTCGTTTTAATTTCATAACAGTGATTAACCTTGTTGTTTTCGTCGTTAATTTCAAATTCTTTAGTTTCTACATTTCTGTACCATTGATAAACTGAAGAACTTTACGAGCGGTAAAGTGATTAGATGATTGTGAGTTTTGTCTGAAGAATATTGAATCAACTTTTACCTGCATAGGAAAAAGACTTCAATTAGAATTTTTCCTCGGAAAACAAAATGTGATGGACGATCGACTCCACTATTAAACATGTTTTTGGGGTGAAAGCAAAATCTATAAAAGAATATACTTTCATATTTGCTTTAAATCCATATTTTTTATATTCATACTCTTTTGATTTATCAATAAAAGTAATAGAAGCATCTTTTTCAATCAAATTTCCAAATTGAAAAAAATAATATGATTTATTTTCTTCCTTGAGATTCTTTTCTAATGCGGCTATATTTTGTTCCTGTTTTAAAACTTCGTTATTAATAGTGGTTATTTGTTGTTGAATATAGGTTTTAATTTCACTATCATCAATATTTTGTATTTGTTGTTGAATATAGGTTTTAATTCCACTATCATCAATATTTTGTATTTGTTGTTGAATATAGGTTTTAATTTCACTATCATCAACATTTTGTATTTGTTGTTGAATATAGGCCTTAATTTAGCTATCATCAAATATTTTGTATTTGTTGTTGAATATAGGTTTTAATTCCACTATCATCAATATTTTGTATTTGTTGTTGAATATAGGTTTTAATTTCACTATCATCAATGTTCTATATTTGTTGTTTAATATTTGTTAGTTCTTTTTGTAATTCACTATTAAGTTTAGTTTCCAGATCATTTATTTCCTGTTGAAATGTATCTTCATTTTCACCTGGAATGTTATCTATTAATTGTTGAATATCTCATTTTTGTTTTTGCAATCCTATTTAGATATTAATGAAATTAAATTTTGGAACTGAGTTTTGTTCACTACATTGACTAATTGTTTTTGAATAAAACTTTTTAAACCTGTTACCTCTCTTGCTCTTTAGTATCATTAAAAAAAAATTTATTATTTAGTTGACGTTTGAAGAATCTTTTCACATTACTTATTTTATCTTCTAAACTTCTTCTTCTAATATGGTTTTTATCTACTTCAATTGAATTTATTTGATCCCGTAAATATTTCTTGTGAACAGCGTCATTATCATTTTCCGGAGACTTTAAATTAGTTACTTTGAAATTGTTCATATCTAAATCCCCTTTGAAGAGTCTCCGATTTGATCTACAATGTAAGGTTTTGCTTTATTTATCCACGCTGTAGTGTTAGGCTTTTTAGTTTCTAAAGGTAAAGAACCTAATCCAAATTTGTTTGCCATTTTTATTAAGATAAATTTATTACAATTTATTCAAACTGTTTTTTCCCAAGCATAATTGATATAAAATCAAAAGTGAAAGTTTCATTTCCCCCTACAATAATAAAACGGTGATATATTTAACTAATTTGCACATCTCATAAGTTGAAAGTTTGTGGTTGTATCATTTCCATATTTATCCAAAAAACTATTCATTTCTAAAAGTCAGTTTTTTGAAGTTCGTTTTGGTAAAACCTACCCATGATTTGTTGATGTACTATTTACTTCATCAACGATGAATATTTCGTTTGTCTAGCCCTTCTCGAATTTACTTTTATATTTGAAAATACAAAGGCAATCTCCAACTTTAAATTTGGGTTTTATATTTAAATTGCTTATTTCATTTTAAAAATTATTAAGGGTAGAAGAAAACCATATATCTGGATTTTGACTAGCTTCCATTGGAGAAACACCGATGGAAGAATGAAATTTATTATTATATTCCGATACTACAGTGGGTAAATCTTTAGCCATTTTTGAGACTTAAGTTCTGTGAATTTTTTAAACAGTTTTGATTTAAGCGTCCTGTTAAACCTGAGTGATTTCATATTTTTATTATAAAATTCGCTTCCTTTATCTACCCATAACTTTTGGGGTCGTCTATCAGCATATTTCATAATCGTTTCAAAAGCTTGTTTAACAGTTAGACCTGATTTTGTTTTTCAAAGGAATAACCCAAGAATATCTTATAGCATTATTTAAATCCTCTTTCAACTGGCATATCAATTAAATCAGCTGACCATATTTCATCTTTATCAAATACTTTAACTTTTAAATAATGTTTGTTTTTTCTAAATTCTATATGAATTTCATCTGCCAATCCCAAACACAATTTCATCTTTGCTTTAAACAGTTTTATAATCAGAGCTCTCTCCATTTTCTCTTTGAACGTAGGATTTGGAATATTTTCAAGTTCGATTATCATTTGTTTGTCTGCTTCGAGTCTGAACTTTATGTCTTTATTTCTGTATAAAATATCATGTTTAAGTGCAGCAGCGTCACTTCTATTGACAGGTTCTTCACCTGGTTTGGGTTTATCGTTTTCGTCTAATCGTAGATCTAACCTAGTACCTGGACCAGTATAATTATGATCTTGAAGATGTTTTTCTCCAGGATATTTTGCCCATGGAAAACCAAGAAGAGAGCCAAGTGATTTTTGTATATCTGAACCAAAATAAGTTCTAGGGCTTTGTGCGATTATCATTTTTATCCTATACCTTTAAAGTCTTTTCCTTTCTTTTCTTCTAATCTCCTGTTTCGTAGTTTTCTTATTTGTTGTAATTCTTTCAATTCCTTAGATTTTTTACTTACTCCTGCTTTTGCGATAGAACCAATAGTCTGGGCTTCGGATGAAATAAGTGATTTGTTGTTTGAAACAAAGCCAGCTACTTTTGGAATTAGAGAAGTTAGTGCTGAGATGAAACCATTTCCTTTAAATCTTTCTTGTTCGTGTTTTAAAATTAAACTCATCCTATTTTTAAATGAGTTAATTTAATGATAAAATGTCGGGTATGGATGTCTTTTTTGGGAGCTCCTAGATTGGATGAACTTTTCCCCATGGAATGAATTGGAATGGGGAAAAGTGCGAACAATCTAGGACCTCATACACTGCTAGCAGGGTGCGTTAGTAAGCAGAGTGCTGTAGTAAATAGAGTGTGGTAAGAATCAGATCCATACCTGTACAGAATTCTCCAAAAAATCCGTTTTTACATTGACATTTTCCATCAACACACTTCCCGTTACAATTACAATCTACTGTTGCACAAGGATCGGCTGAAATTGACAAAACATCTTAGTGTAGTTCAAATGGACTTTTTAAATCTTTAATTTGCTCTCATCTGGCTAATAATCTTCACAATGTCGAGCAATAGCCGCATTTCATACTTTAAACTTTATATGTGTATCGTTGACACTGATAGCATCAATTTGCATCATTCCAATTTTCAATCAGACGTCTGTGGTTCCTGCAATTCTACTACAACTAAGTCTTTGAGAACGTCACTTATCCCGAAGTGACATCTGATAATTCAGAAATTTTGCGACACTGACGTCATCAAACACTTAGTTTCAGCAGGATTGTGGGAAGTACAGACAGATTGAAAATTAGAATGGTGCAAATTGATGCTATCAGTGCTACCGATACACATGTATAGTTTAGAAGATCCTGAAAAATCCCTATAAGGTTTGACCCCATTTCAATGTATGCTGAATGGCGCATCTGTCTCTTTCACATGCATTATATTGAAGTTCAAATAAAATTCCCGGGGAGTGGCATCAACCCACTTAACATCACGGACCCCACTCATCTAGTTGAGCCACTGTCTTTTCAAAATCACTGTAAATTTTACCCACGTGTTATTGTATGTTACGTAATACTTACGTTTTGGACAGATATAGCGTGTAACGATTTCTTTCACTGATGGCAATTCCAAACATTTGCTGATGTTGTCTTGTCCCTCTCCGACATCAATCAAAATAAGAACGACCAACACAGTAACAAGATAATGTAAACGCATGTTTATATTCACAAGATACGTTTTTTACAATTTCTACAAATATCAAATATATCATAGTAACATTAAAGGGACTGGATCGCCATTTGTGGAAAAGTCGTCCGAGTGTGTGATGAAAAGTGTTCCGAGTGTGTGATGAAAAATGTTCCGAGTGTGTGATGAAAGTGGTCCGAGTGTGTGATGAAAGTGGCCTGTGTGTGTGATGAAAAGTGGTCCGTGTGTTTGATGAAAAGTGGTTGGAGTTTAGCTTAGCTAAAAAATAATTCTGACTGAAAGTAAGGTATGAATGGTCAGAAAAAGCATCTGTCCCTGTCTGTCCCGTGGGTGGTAAAATTGTGCGGTGTAAGGTAATATGGCATCTTCACAAAGGTATTAAGAACTTTGTACAAATATCTTGACTACACTTCTCTTGTATCGTGAAAGTTTTCTTCTTTACAATGACCGAGTTACTTTGTACTTTTACCATGACTACAATAGTAACCTTTCTTGTATCACATCTTCACAATGTCAAATTATTACGAACTTTGTATTTTTACCTTGATTTATGGTATCAAGAATTGCATTGACTCAAGTGAATACATCCAATTAGAGCACTCGAAATCTATGCCTAATTAATGTTTACCGACTTGCCGTCGAGGTCTCTGACTGTATTCGCTATAAAATCGCCCCGTTACATACTTCCGTGATATAAGAATAGTAGCTATTGTCCTTAAGGTATAAAGGTATAAGGTATAAGGTTTGTAAAAGCTTTGACATTGTGAGATGTGAAGCAAAAAAAGTGGCTATTATAGTCAAGGTATAGGACGACGTTCTTAACACCATGCCCATTTTGATGATATGATACACGAAAGGTGGCTATTGTAGTCAAGGTATAAGAATTTCGTAACACTATGATCATTGTGAAGGTGTGACACGCTAAAAGTGGATATTGTAGTCAAGGTATAAGACGAAGTTCGTAACACCTTGACCATTGTGAAGATGTGATACGCTAGCCTCCCGAGACTGGGGGTACAAATAGGGAGCAGACTGACTTTATGGTGGGGGACAACTTTCATGGCGCGAGTACACCAACAGTCTTAGTCGCCGATTTTTGTCGCCGATTTTTGTCCCAGACTAAGTCTTCATTCATTGGCTGCGGGCAAAAATCTCAGGTCGGTAGTGTTCAACTTCGTCGATAATCACGTGGGATCATGCACTTGAAAGGAAAATTAATCTGATTGGATGATGACGCTCTGTCTTTCAGACGATAATATAATCGGCCAAAAACATCATATTTGATATTATATGTCCTATTCAAATTTCTGAATATTCAAATCGGCGACAAAAAAGACTGCTCATGTATCCGTGCATGTCTCACTCAGGGACCCAGAAAGAATTTCCGACTTACCACTTCGTTCTTGTGACTTCGCTTAGTTATAAATATGAATTGTTTCCAGGACTTATATAGCTGCTCAGGAAAAATATAACTCGATCGTAAAATTGTTGATGGTAAGAAATGGTCCACACATTCCAGGTGTACCAGGTGCGAAAGGGAGCCAGCTGCCCAGCTGTACGTGAGTTTAGTAACACGTGTAAAGTGATGTCGTATTTCAATGTTCTATGGATTTGAAATAGGAAATTAGATATGCATAGATAAACCAAGTACTAACGCAAAACAAAATCGAAATCTAAAACAACATTTTGGCGTCGCATTAGTTGCAGCAAATAAACTTTTCACGTGAGGAAGTAAATTAATCATAAGTGAGTAAATATTTCATAATGAAAAGTGGTCTCAGGCGTTTACAAAAAAGAAGCAACTATGGATAACAAGGATAACAAGGATAAGATTCACACGGATCCTCTTTACCAGATAGTCCTTGGCCAAACCTATTGACATTACTATTACAAGAATAACGACTAAGTTTCACGAAGATCCTTTCTACCAGCTGATCCAAGCCTGTTGGTTATGATTTTACATGGATAGCAACTTAGATTCATAAGGATTCTATCTACCAGCTGATCCTTGGCCAAACCTCTTGACATTGATATTACAAGGTTAACAACTTAAGTTAACGAGGATCCTTTTTACCAGCTGATCCTTTGCCAAACCTCTTGGCAATTATTTTACAAGAATAACAACTTAGGTTCACGAGAATCCTTTCTACCAGCTGATCCTTGGCCAAACCTGTTGGTTATGATTTTACAAGGATAGCAACTTAGGTTCACGAGGATCCCTTCTACCAACTAATCCTTGGCATTGATCATCAGGTCACCAGACTTTCACCCGCCGACCAAGACTAGAACCCACAACCACTATTTGTTCGACGAATCCATGCACATGACGTCATGTAAAGATTCTAACGCTCTAGCTGAATTATTATTATTATTAAGATGTATTTATAAATCACATCTTTCACCTGAGTACCCAGGTGCGCTTTACAATAAAGTAGAAGCTAGTTTCAATGATTATTTGCTTTAATGGAGATTATATTGTGTTATATAGATTCTATTCTGCGGTAATGGCACCTGGACTCAAAAATTCGTGCGATTACTCTGTCACGTTCAGTGATCTTATCAAATCGTTAATTTATAACGTTTAAACTCCTACATAAAGCTACGAAATTTTGAAAAACGGGGTCCAAATCAGTCCATCTGATAGATATAGACTCGTATTGAACATTCTTAAAATCGTTTTTCAATAATTACTTCGTTAAATGGATTTATCATCTTATAACGAGATTCTATTCTATAGTATGGCACCTGCCAAGTCCAACTGAATATATACTCTTCTTGATCAAGTTTGATCTTCGAATGTCCATTCGAAGAGGGAGTATTCCTTTCACTAATACACTAGCGTCAAAATTCTTAGTCATGGTTTAAATTTTTAATATAGCCACTTCAATTACGATCCCTTCAAGATTTATATTCATCAGTCCAACGTCGAAAATATCCCAATTGTATTTGAGCGCGTCGATAATTCAGTCAAATTATTGGTCACAGCCAATCGTGACTATATAACATAACGTGATCAACGAAAGCCCTTAAACTGTGACCAAAATACCATGTGCTCGTATTAATGTGGCACAAATACACGTGTTCCTATCACTGTGGCCATAATACCTTGTACCCGTTACTCAGAAATTGGATAATTTGTCATCTATATCAAATTTTTTTGTCATCTATAAGTGGCAATAGATTTTTTTCCAAAAAAAAGATCTGAGTCTAATCATAATTAGGGTCTAACGACAGCCCCCCTGAACGTTCGTCAAATTAACCTTTTAACTTAACCTTATAAACACCGCCAAATGCTAAATCTGGGGAGGGTAGAAATTTGAAAGCTTAAAGCAGACGTCATCGAGTTAAGTCAAAAGGTTACTTTCATACGGGCTGTCGTTAGCATTATACCTTGTTTCCGCATTACTGTGACCATAATAATTTGTCCCCACATTACTGTGACCATAATACTTTGTCCCCACATTACTGTGACCATAATACTTTGTCCCCACATTGTGGTGACCATAATACTTTGTCCCCACATTGTGGTGACCATAATACTTTGTCCCCACATTACTGTGACCATAATACTTTGTCCCCACATTACTGTGACCATAATACTTTGTCCCCACATTGTGGTGACCATAATACTTTGTCCCCACATTGTGGTGACCATAATACTTTGTCCCCACATTGTGGTGACCATAATACTTTGTCCCCACATTACTGTGACCATAATACTTTGTCCCCACATTGTGGTGACCATAATACTTTGTCCCCACATTGTGGTGACCATAATACTTTGTCCCCACATTGTGGAGACCATAATACTTTGTCCCCACATTACTGTGACCATAATACTTTGTCCCCACATTGTGGTGACCATAATACTTTGTCCCCACATTGTGGTGACCTTAATACTTTGTCCCCACATTGTGGTGACCATAATACTTTGTCCCCACATTGTAGTGACCATAATACTTTGTGTCTCTATAACTATGACCATAATACTTTTCTGCACCATATGGGGGAGCAAGTCCAGGCAGGACACGTTAATCTTACGGACGGTAGTGTCTTTAATTTCTAACCTGCGTAGATTTTATCAACAAAGTCTCCAAGAGCGGAGATATTGATTGCACAAAACAGTATCTATGTATCTGAAAGTGGAATTGAAAGATCGGGCTTTTACAATTCACCTAGGTGAAAATTGATTTTTTAATTTTAAACTTTAAATTTCATTATGACGACCGTATCTGTCGAAGAAGGTATCGCCATATTAACGATGGAGGCTGGACATATAACATATTGACTTAAAAAGTTTTTATTTTAAATTTTTTTGAATTATCGCCTTGGTGAAAACGAAAGTATTTTTAATAAATATTCAGTAAATAAAGTTTTAATTCAAAATAAAAAGTGAAATATGTCTAATATGAGCCACTGTACAAAGCAGTCTGCTTAACGGTGTTGCTGCTGTGACAATTCTTCGTTGACAATAGCGAAAAGAGTAGAGCACAAAGGTTCGCCAATGGATACAAAGAAGAGGTGAATGTTGAGCATATCAGGCCTAAATGATCTGACAGATCAGGCGTGCTTCAGACATTGTTAGTATGGTATATTACCAAATATGGTCGGGGCTGTAACTAGGCCTTTTTTCTATGAATCGAAAGTTCAGTTGTCTTCCATTACGAGGCTGTGGTAGACTACCATTATCAAAGACGACAAAATAGGCGAAGTATTCAACGGATATAATCATTATATTTTTAATTTTTCGTGCCTAATTTGTTTTGTTAATATATTTTTTATTTTTTTCCTTTCAGACAATCACACATTTGTCCACGAACACGATCAAACAAATGTATGACGAAGTTTTGAACAAATGTTGATCGTGTATTGTTTACCGACGGAAGTATTTAGTAAATATTATGTTTAATGGAATGGAAGTCTGGTACACTTATCTCGTTCAAGATTTTTTTATTTTTTAGTGTCAAATTAAGCAAACTATTTGATTGAATTGTGTTTCTAATCAATTATTATGTATTCTTAATCATATTATTATGTTCTTATTGTATATGATTAAGAGTTTTAACTAATCATAAATGGCCATGTATGTACAGTCTGGATAAACAAAAAAAGACTTTTTTTGACCATTCTTGATCGGTCACTCTGATCGTAATTCTCTTCTAATTTAACTCATTATGAATTAATTATGGACATGTGAGACACTGGAATTTTTCCAAGTCATTAGAACACCTCTAAATTCTATTCATATAAGTATGAGCATTTTCATTTTCATAAATAAAAATAAGGGAACCCATCTTTAATAACCTGTTTCCTTTAAAAGCTTCTAGCCCAATTTCTTACCTCAATAATGTGATAATTATTATTATAATAATTACAGAATCAAATTTTTTGTCTACTACAAATTAGTTATTATTTTGAAAAATGTAAAATCACTGAACCTTATATTACCATGGACCCACGGACATTCTGAAACCAATGGCATAAAGTTAAAAAATTAATTTTGAATACCTGTGAAATGGGAGATCAATTTCTAAGCCTATTTTTTACAAAGGGTAGTTTTTATAAATATTCCCTGAAGCTTCAAATTTGGAGATGCACATGAAAGTAAAAATTGTCGAGGTTTGGTTTAAAAGTTGCAGTCGAAGTGGCATACCTTAATCGGATTTGAAACAAACTTTTGTCAGAAATGTGAACAGACGCACTGATTTGTTTTGGAAGCCTTACGTGTGCATTGGTCCGAGTTTGCTTTGGTTCGAGTTTGTTTTGGTCCGAGTTGTCCTGATTCTATCCACCACAGACCAAAGAATTAGCGTACCATTTCGGCAACGTTCCTCTAGTCTTAATCTCTAGATTATATAGAGGTTTTCTAAATACTTCATGTGTATTGGGGACAGTGTTAGCATCAATTTGCACTAATCCAATTTTCAATCAGACGTCTTTGTGTCCAAAAATGCTGAAAAACTAAGTCTTTGATGACGTCATTAATTTTAAAGGGATTATGCAAATTTTACGATTAGTGACGTCATCAAACATTTTTTTTCGTGGAATTGCAGGAACCATAGACGCCTGATTGAAAGTTGGAATGGTTCAACTTGATGCTATCAATGTCCGAGTTAAACCAAAAAACTTGGAAAACCAATCTCTTTAAAAAAAATCTCTCAAAAATTCAAGTCAGTAACTTTGAAGGCCATGGATCGGCATTTTTGGAAAATTAGGCTTTTGTAGTGCTCTACCTTTTTTGTAATTTCATTAGTCGATTCGTCTTTAAAGTGTGGAGATTTGGTCGAATTGTCCTATACACCGGAAGTAAGGTTGCAATGAGAGAGTCGAATATAACGAATTGAACATCAGCAGGAATTTGTTTCAAAATGTTGAGATCCTTATTTCAACATTCGTTTCTATTCGTAAGTTTTCTTAAATTTTATTATCTTTTGAAGGACATTTAGAAATAAGTTATTCCTAAGGAGATATAGAGACTAGAGTCTACATACATGATCGTCCTGACCGTATGTCGCGAGATAAGGTCATTTTTTGTTTATACAGTGGTGTATCCTATATTCGTGTATATTAGGCTTCACCAATTTTTTTTTTTATTTCTGAGATGTTTACTCAGGTATTCTGTAAAATAATTAAAATTGGTTTGTTTCGGGTTTCTGTATGAATCCCGCACTTTGACCCATATTTCATGAGTAGGCTAACGAATAGTGTTGAAACGGTTAGTGAATTTTACGAACCGGGTAATCGTCGGCAATAACCGTTTGTTAACCGGTTAATCCCAGTTACTTACTAAAGTCATAAACCGCATTTGCGGTGGTAACTCACCGTTAACTAAACTAGAGTACCTAGGAAGAGTTTGGCTAGTTACCTGCGAATTGTCGGTACAAATCGACAGATACCAAACAACCCATTGAAGTGTCTGCTCCAATGTAAGATTACGAGCGGGCCTGACAGAGTTCAGACAGACTGGTGTCATTGTCACCCATTGCTACAGTCTCTAACAGATTAAAGGTTTTTATACCAGTTGTGGGGTCAGTGTAATGAGTGTATCTCATTGAAGTTGCCACGAATCAGTGTACTGGTTCCACAACTGGTAAAAAACTATTGTCTCCATGAATCCGTACTCATGAATATTAATAAGGTTGAAGATGATTGACACAAGGCGACTGTCGACAAACTAAGACCATCAAGAACGAGAACGAGTAATTAGTTGAACTTATATCAAAAAAGAGGCACTAACTTGTTAGTGCTTTGATAATTGAAACCCTATCTTGATTTATTAATCTCAATTATTCAATCAATAAAGATGTTTATTTACAAAAGAAAACAGCTTAAAGACTCATACAGTGATAAATTTTCTGTCAAAATTGCTCTCTTTTTACTTCTTATAAAATTGACGGTTAACCGATTATCTCAAATCAGACCTGGTTACCTGTGAAATACTAGCTGAAATCGGTTAACTGATTAACCATTTCAACACTACTAACCAACTCGACACCGGCAGCAAAATGCATCACCAATTTTCGTGTATAATGTTTGATCTATAAATTAGTCGAGAAAAACACATGTGGATATCCAGTTGTATAATTATCATTTCTTAGTATTTATCTTTATGACAATTCCTTCAAAGATAAATGATCTAAAAAAAAAAATTAGTGACTGACAAAATAAGGTAAGTAAAAGGTTAGAGTGATTTTATTGCCAAAAGTCATTGAACATAACATAGAATTTTTCTGCTGACACGGAATCCACTGGGATATATTTTTGCAGACAACACGTGGAATTCTGACTACAGCTTGGGATTATTTAAAGGAAACTCGGCCTATAAAAAACTGTATTTGGTCATAACCGAAATGCGCCATAATGAATATGTTAGAAATAAATTTGACGTAGCTTTCAAACGACAAGAAACATTCTACTAGCTGACATTGTACAAACAACCCATGTTTATCAAAAAAAGCAAATACAGAGGTCACACAAATTATTAATCATTTCCAAATGTTCACGAAAAATAGGTTAGCACGAAATTAGGTTATGCTAAATAGTTGAAATATGTTCAAATTCAAACAGCAAGGTCTTTTTAAAGGTAAAAAAGGTTACAAAAATAACTGTGGAGATTGTTTCGGAGTAGAAATTCTGTCTATCTATAGATACATAAGGTTTGAGTTGGAGGCAGACTTTTGGATTTGGATAGGGTTTGCTATGATCCCTTTTTTATTTTTGTGTTTACGAAAACATGTAATCACACTTTTATTGACCTAAGAATTATGTCTCCTACATTTTCTGAAGGTTTCAACTGATAATATCGAGCTAAACACCAAAACTAAGTCAAACTGCTTAATTAACAATTAGTACTCTCCGTTTTTATACGCCCACATTATAATATGTAATAAAACTTGACATTAAATACCATCCTTTAATACCCAATGTTTCAAAAAAGTTTTGACTTCATCAGGGGAAGAAACAACAATAAAAATGATTATTTTTGTTACCAATTTTATATTGCTTGTATAATTGTTGCTGATAAATTTTGTTTGTATGTATATAAGTTGGGTGAAATGCAAGAAAGGGCTTTTTAGCCTAATTTCTTACCCTAATGAAATTATTATTATTATTATTATTTGTATAATATATATTATAAGAGTAATGACTACAACCCCTAAAAGGAGCTGTAGTGGCTCGGTGACATACACGCTTGCTCGCTAACCTGTAGGTCCAGGGTTCATTCTGGCATAGGTCGAGTTGGTACCTTCAGACGTTCTGGTTTCCCCCTGTCAATGATGCTGATAAGAAGGGCTGACATGGAAGAGCATCTAGTAGTGCGGATGGGACAATAAGCCGAGGCCCTGTGTGCTACAGGCTGTGCATGTTAAAGATCCCTCGACAGTTGCAACTCGAAAAAAAGCAGGCTAATGCACTGTCCTGGCAAAAGTTTCCCTCATTGTAGCCTCATGGCATTACCCGTCTTCATTAGCTCACATGATGCAGAAAGATAGGACATTAAACTCTGTTCATTTCATTGTTTGATCATGGTGGTTTTGATAAGTCAAAACGAGTCACCTCATATCAAATTATTTGGATCAAGTGAACCGTGGTCTCTTTTTTTAGTGATAATTGTGCATGGTTTAAATTAAGATGACCTTACATTTAAATTTTCTTATTTTTCAGTATGAAACGAAGATACAACTTGTGTTTACAAGAGTTATCTCTCTTAGACTGACTACCTATCAAGAAAGACATGCAGTTTTTAGATGTACAGATTTTTACAATGGAAGAGGAGCAATTCCTTACTCAAGTTCCTTACACTGTAAAACAAATTGTATAGATTATCTTCAGTACCTATTACCAAGGTGGACCAATCCAGTATGGAAAGGGAAATGTCTTAGGGAATTTCACACATGTCAGTCATTATGTACATCAGCTTTTGATGGAAACAACAAAACAAGTAAAGAACCAGATAGCATTTCTACAGATGTTGATGTTAACAACAAAACAAGTAAAGAACCAGATAGCATTTCTACAGATGTTGATGTTAACAACAAAACAAGTAAAGAACGAGATCGCATTTCTACAGATTCGAAGGAAAGTAAATTTATAAGAATAAGAACAAAGAATTTTGTTTGTCACACCTGTAGTAAATCATTTGCCACAAGTAGTGATCTAAGGAAACATATAAGAACACATACTGGAGAGAAACCATATACTTGTGAATTCTGTAGTAAATCCTTTAGTGAAAAAAGTAATTTAACAAGACATCGGAGAATACATACTGGACAGAAACCCTATACTTGTGAAGTTTGTTATAAGTCATTTAATCTTAAAGGTAATTTAACAGTACATCTGAGAACACATACTGGAGAGAAACCCTATGCTTGTGAATTTTGTAATATGTCATTTAGTTTCAAAAGTTCATTAACAAAACATCTGAAAATACATACTGGAGAAAAACTTTACACTTGTGAAATTTGTAGTTTATCATTTTGTAGAAAAGATCATTTAACCAGACATCTGAGAACACATACTGGAGAGAAACCCTTTACATGTGAAGTTTGTAATAAGTCATTTAGTCGAATAGACAGTTTAAAAGAACATGAAAAGATTCACAAGGACAGTTGAGCTTTTATTATAAGTCAGACATTTTGAACAATGCTTTTGACTGGATTTCAATGTGTGCTCATATTAATAAGGCATTAAAACACTTATTTTAGTTGCTCTTTAATTTCTTTTAAATTCAAACATTTCTCTCTGGCCACATCAAGTTCTAAATCACATTTTGGCTATCATTTTTGTATGAATTTAAATATTTATCTCCAAATCTGAGAGTTTTAGATTGTCTTTGGGTTGATGAAAATGCCAACCATTGAAAACAAAATTATTTGAAACTATGATTTTACAGAGGGAGATTTTCAGTTCAAAATGTGTGTCATTTTCACATGCAATTTCTTGGAGACAATTTGTGTTCATTTCAGGTGCAAAATTTTCAGAACTTATATATTCATGGACCCAAAGGCATTCCAAGACTATTGGTATGAACTTGAAAATCATATTTTGAATATTTGAGACATGAGAGAAAAAATTCAATTTAGAACTCAATGTTGGCCAGAGAGTAAGTAAAATGTCGTACCTTTCAATACATTGAATATTTGTACATCCAAAGTTTAACTGATTGAAATTCACGTCATACCCTACAGCCCCCGTTGTCAGCTCTCGCCCCTAAAACCTATCCTTGCCCGTGCCAGGCTATATGAATATCTCCTTGAAGAGGTTAACAACTTAAGAACTGTGTAAACGTCAATACTTCCCTCTAACGCTGAGTTAGAACACTGTCTTTTTGAGACATTCGTATTCTAAGCGATTAGGTCGTTATGGATTCGAATCCTCCTCAAGGTAAGAAAAATTCTGATGCCTGTGCCAGTGCTTTCGACAGTCCGCCTGGTGTCGGCTCTCACCCTCTGATACAGTATTGTCATTGGGGTAAACTGGTCCCCATTCCATCTAAAGCTTCGCCTATAAAGTGATAAGCGAAAAGACAGATTACTAGTTAAGCGGTGGGTTCGTTTTGCAGCATTGTCCAACTTGCCGCATCTTGCCCAACTGCACAAAAACGACTTGTAAAACGAAACTAATGGTTTCTGATAAAATCCGGAATGGTCACTTATTTCACATGAAATGAAAACAAAAACGAACCCACCGCCAGTTTAGTTGCTGGGGTTTCTAGTAAGTTGTCAACGCTAAAAAGGACGACGTGTTGCTAAATCCCACAGTCGATATTTTGAGCGTGAGATTTAGGCCGTACTTGTTAGTGTAGCGATAAGGGAACACAACACGGTACCAGTTTAACTTGATGGGAAATGAAATAGATTCGGGGAAGGGAGGGTTTGATTCTCCCTACTTTTCTGATCGTCTTCATTAGCTCAATTTAGGTGCAGAAAATTAGGATATAAAGCACTCCTCCGAGCCCCTGAACCAATCTGTGGCCCTACTAGCACCCTGTCACACCTCCCACCCCACATAACCGATCTGCGGCGATACTAGCACCCCCTATCCCTACACACGACACTAAAGACAGCTTTTATATTTATCTGACAGTTTCTTAGAGTAAACAAACACTATCTTTCTTTCTCTCATACCCCCATGTGGGCAAATGAAGACAGGCAACTCCATGCATAGTAAATGAGGACAGCGGCATTAGCCTGCTCTTTTTCGATTTCCAACTGGCGAGGGTTCTTTAACGTGCACAGCCTGTAGCACATGGGGCCTCGGTTTATTGTCCAAACGACTATTTTACCTTATAGACACTAACAACAGGACGTACAACTTTCAGATACCTAAATTTTCAGGGATAAGCTTGTGAACGAAATAAATAAGAATTGAAAAGACCCAAATCAACCCCGAAATGCCGCATCTGTCCTTTTAAATTGCAGTTAATGTCATGAAAACGTGTTTTCCAATTCGCGAATATCAAGACTCAAAATGACCTGTCGGAACAGTCAGAGGCTTTCGGAGAATCCAAGACACCGTCGCTTTCCCAACGTACTAAAAAAACAGACTGTCCCTTTAAATAGAATCTATATAGAAAATCAAGCGAAAGACGATGGGATGATTTCCTAGTTGACGGTAATTCTACTCTCTTCGACTTGTTAGTTTAGATTGATTCGCTAGAATGTATGTTTAATACGGTGGAAGATTTAATAAGGAGTTATTAGCCGGAAATGACAAATGACAGAATACATCTAATACTATTGATTTGGTCAAGTGGAAGAATTTCATGTTAACTAGCACTTGACATTCCTTGTTAATTCACTTTAAAATGACCATCGAAGACACAATTTAATCACATTCTTTTACTGGAATAAAACAAGGTTTTAAATAACAGTATAGCCTACATGAAAAAGACGGAAAAAAACGAGCATTTTTGGATAGTTTAAAGTTAGGTTCACATGGGATCCTTTCTACAAGCTGGTTCTTGTCTTTTGCAAACCCTTTTGCATTGATATATCGACAGGAATAATGAGGAAACATTACCCTTCACTCCGACCGAGAAAAGAACCCACGACTCCAGTTGTCCCTAGTTGCGCATGCATAGTCCGTATTCGTTAGCTTGAACAAAAATCGCTATTTACATTTCAAACAACTCGTATTGCATTTACGCAAACGTCTTTACGTACCAGGGACTAATAGAAAACTAAGCGATTTTTTTATGTGCTCGTGGATGCTGCACGATTCTTTAAATAGTAAGAATGACGTCAGCATATTCCTAGAAAAGGTATTTACCAACAGCTGGATTATGTCTTAGTACGTAGTTGGTCAAAGAAAATTTTGTCTCAAACTGAATTTTTTTAAAGGGTTAATTAAAAAAGGAGAGTACCTATGGTTATGGTTCGGGAGGGACCCGAAAACTAGGGTAGAAATTCGGACAATCTGAGATCAATCCACCCCCCCCCCCCCCCCCCTCGGACCCCAATCTGGCTCCGTCACTGTACAACATACCTCTAAACGATTGGAATTGTGTACTCAGCAATTAAGAAGGCTTCGTATCCTACGTCGCAACAGAGGCGGATAAAGACATGAAAAACCTTTTAAAATCGGAAGAAAAGAACTGCTCATCTCAGATGTGGTAATAACTACAATTGAAATATATTCCTTTCTCTGTTTACTCTATTGTTTTAAAGCTTTTAGCTTGGATCCTGTTCAAGATGCATAAAAATACATATTATGTTGAAGTAATTACTATTTATACATTTTACAAGTGGATTCGTCTAGCTGTTTTCCTTCTGTCAGTAATGCAGGTAAGAAGGGCTGACATGGCAAAAGCGTTTCGTTGTTCGTACAGGTCATTGAACTGAGTGCTGCCCTGGCAAAATTTCCCGCACACTGCATGTCGGTTGACCTTTCTCACACAAGTACAAACAGTAGGACGTAAAACTCTATTTTAATTCAATTTAAACTTCATTATCTTGGCAAGGTGTAACAGTTGGTGTCATGAATCTATTCTGTTTAAACTTCATTATCTTTGCAAGGTGTAACACTTGGTGTCACGAATCTATTCTGTTTAAACTTCATTATCTTGGCAAGGTGTAACACTTGGTGTCATGAATCTATTCTGTTTAAACTTCATTATCTTGGCAAGGTGTAACACTTGGTGTCATGAATCTATTCTGTTTAAACTTCATTATCTTGGCAAGGTGTAACAGTAGGTGTCATGAATCCTATTCTGTTTAAACTTCATTATCATGGCAAGGTGTAACACTAGGTGTCATGAATCTATTCTGTTTAAACTTCATTATCTTGGCAAGGTGTAACACTTGGTGTCATGAATCTATTCTGTTTAAACTTCATTATCTTTGCAAGGTGTAACACTTGGTGTCATGAATCTATTCTGTTTAAACTTCATTATCTTGGCAAGGGGTAACACTTGGTGTCATGAATCTATTCTGTTTAAACTTCATTATCTTGGCAAGGTGTAACACTTGGTGTCATGAATCTATTCTGTTTAAACTTCATTATCTTGGCAAGGTGTAACACTTGGTATCATGAATCTATTCTGTTTAAACTTCACTATCTTGGCATGGTGTAACACTTGGTGTCATGAATCTATTCTGTTTAAACTTCACTATCTTGGCATGGTGTAACACTTGGTTTCATGAATCTATTCTGTTTAAACTTCATTATCTTGGCAAGGTCTAACACTTGGTGTCATTAATCTATTCTGTTTAAACTTCATTATCTTGGCAAGGTGTAACACTTGGTGTCATGAATCTATTCTGTTTAAACTTCATTATCTTGGCAAGGTGTAACACTTGGTGTCATGAATCTATTCTGTTTAAACTTCATTATCTTGGCATGGTGTAACACTTGGTGTCATGAATCAGACTATTCTGTTTAAACTTCATTATCTTGGCATGGTGTAACACTTGGTATCATGAATCTATTCTGTTTAAACTTCACTATCTTGGCATGGTGTAACAGTAGGTGTAGCGAACTATTCTATTTCAAAGAACAAGTTTGAACTCTAGGATTAATTTAAACTTAGTTGATAACATTATAGTCAAACACGATATTTAACACAAATAAAATTATTCTTAAATTGGTCCACTTTCTCGAGGAAATTAGTCTCTAAAATAACCACATGAGGTACAGAGTTGGGAGACACGCCATCTTGAAACGGGTTTATTCTACAATTACATTTATTTTTCTTCGTCACAGTTTTTAAGAAGACGAATGTCTAGATATTTAAGAGAAAATAAGTCTAGATATTTACAAGAACATAAGTGTATATATTTAAGGGGACACAAGCCTAGATATTTAAGGGGACACAAGTCTAGATATTTAAAGGGACACAAGATTAGATATTTAAGAGAACACAAGCCTAGATGTTTTAGGGGACATAAGTCTAGATATTTAAGGAGACATAAGTCTAGATATTTAAGGGGATACAATTCTAGATTTTTAAGGGGACAAAAGTCTAGATATTTAAGGAGACATAAGTCTAGATATTTAAGGGGATACAATTCTAGATTTTTAAGGGGACAAAAGTCTATATATTTAAGAGGACACAGGCCTAGATATTTAAGGGGATGAAAGTCTAGATATTTAAGTGGACACAAGCCTAGATATTTAAAAGGACACAAGACTAGATATTTAGGAGGAGACAAGACTAGATATTTAAGTGGACACAAGCCTAGATATTTAAGACAACACAAGTCTAGATATTTAAGAGGACACAAGCCTAGATATTTAAGACAACACAAGTCTAGATATTTAAGACAACACAAGTCTAGATATTTAAGAGGACACAAGCCTAGATATTTAAGAGGACACAAGCCTAGATATTTAAGAGGACACAAGCCTAGATATTTAAGACAACACAAGTCTAGATATTTAAGAAGACACAAGACTAGATATTTAAGACAACACAAGTCTAGATATTTAAGAGGACACAAGCCTAGATATTTAAGACAACACAAGCCTAGATATTTAAGAAGACACAAGACTAGATATTTAAGACAACACAAGTCTAGATATTTAAGAGGACACAAGCCTAGATATTTAAGAGGACACAAGCCTAGATATTTAAGAGGACACAAGCCTAGATATTTAAGAGGACACAGGCCTAGATATTTAAGAGGAGACAAGACTAGATATTTACGAAGACACAAGACTAGATATTTAAGAGGACACAAGACGAGATGTTTAAGAGGACACAAGTCTAGATATTTAAGAGGACACAAGTCTAGATATTTAAGAAGACACAAGGCCAGATGTTTAAGAGGACACAAGACTAGATATTTAAGAGGACACAAGTCTAGATATTTAAGAAGACACAAGGCCAGATGTTTAAGAGGACACAAGACTAGATATTTAAGAGGAAAACCAGCTAAGATATTTAAGAGGAGACAAGTCTAGATATTTAAGAAGACACAAGGCCAGATGTTTAAGAGGACACAAGACTAGATATTTAAGAGGAAACCAGCTAAGATATTTAAGAGGCCACAAGTTTAAATATTTAAAGGCACAGGTAGGCTATTTTTACCTATCATACTTTAGTCTCAGAAGCTGGAATTTTTAGCTGAGCTAATCAGTAATAGTGTTCACAGTTCACCATCGAAATTTGAGCCTTCAAATCTTTTGTGTCCAGAATTATCTGCGTTTGAATTTTAAAATGACGACAATTTCAGATACTCTGACCAATAGACCAATATAGGAATAGTGTGTAAAATTCCTATAACAAAAACACAAGACAATATTATGGAATATTATGAAATATATGGAATTCTTTAATAAGGTTGGGCACATAACGTTTCAACGTTATATTCCATAATATTGTCTTGTGTTTTTGTTATATGTGCTCCTCGCTTCTATATGTCGTTCAAATCGCATGTAAAATTCCTAGTTTGAAGTATTTTTTAAAGGAATTATGTGATTTGCGTACATTGGCACATCTGTCCCTTTAAGTATAGGGATGAGATGAGATGATAATAGTCTGAATCAGAATCAAGAAATGAAATAAATTACAATATAAGCGTTTGATTCCCCCAAATATACAATCGAAACAGATACTTCATCTAGTAATTGGGTCTCGTGTCTATGTTGTGAATCGGACTCGAATGAGAAAATATATCTTTTAAAATAACAAATTAATCTGAAACGGTTATGTTGTTATTGTCCCAATATTGTGTCAGTGAAATCTAACCAATATCCTGCTACACTAGAAACATTACGTAGTGTCAGGATATTGTGAACCGTTTTATTATAGGTTGAGATAATAGTAGACCATAACCAACTCTCATCACGTCAAGTCATTAGCATTCGCAGTTGGCGTTCTTACGAGAATTTAGGTGAGGGGCCAAGCAAGAACAAACAAATCTTCCAGGGTTGCAAGAGCAAGGGGGTATTTGGGGGCACAGACAATTTGTTCACTATGTAAAATGTAAAAGAATTTGAAGGTGGGGATGTGGCAAAGCAGGGGAAACCCCCCCCCCCCCCCCCCCCTGGTAGAAACGCCATTGCACCCCATACTGACTCAGGTTCAACGTGACTCTAGTGTCATATCTATCAATAGACTATGCTCGAGCCCCTTTCAAAATAAGCCTGGGAACGTTTCATTTACTGCATCCATCATTTTTTTAGGAGTGGGGGATTTATCGTTGTGTGATGTCACACTGCTTGATGGAGATACTACGTATGATTCTTATATGTGAATTCATCTAACTATGTCAGGCGTGAAGTTTCGTATGGCCATCTGAAGAATACATTTAATAACCATATCGTGATGGTGTTTTATTGAGGTACACTTACGATTTCCTGCAACTTTTTTTTGTATGTTGTAGCACGACCTTTCTAAACTATTTTGCATATTTGTCTTCAGATAGTAGAGAGTATTTTATTCGAGGTAGATTCCCATACAGTAACGTAGAAATCAATAACATAACATTATAGACCGCCGTATCGAAGTGTAATTCCAGAAAATTGAAAGTAAAACGACAAAAATTAAAGTGAAATGGAGCTTCAATTGACTTATTGTCTCGCGTCTGGGCAAAGCAATGTTTTATCAAGTATTGGAAAATTGGGCGAAAAACTGATAAAGTTGCTGATTACTGGTACTAATTTATCTTTGATAGGCAAATTATTCTATAATTAGAATGGCGAGCGGAAGCTTTAGGCAATAACACGTACTAATTCCCGCCATAAATAGTGGATAAGACGGTGTAAAATATACTAGTAGAGTCAATAATAGCCAATCAATGGAGAAGGTGAAACAATAGTTACACTGTCAATTGAATTGGAAAAACATTACTAGTCCTGAATTCTACTATAATAACATCACCATTACTCGCTTTCTTATACCTACTTCTACAGGCGGACTCAAGAATCAGGGGGTCAGAGTCCAACCACTCTTATTACAAAAATTTTTTTTAAACGAATAAATTGTATTTTCAACTATTTTTTTGTCTTGTTTGTTCAAATTGTTTGAGAATCATACTTGTCTAATCTGATGCGACAATTTATTAAAAAAAATATTAGCCAAACCATGTTTAAAAGAGATATTTGTAAGTTAGAAATAATGTAAATAAAGTGTATTTAGAAAACATTATCATTGAAATTAAAAAAAATTTCGGTTGGTATTTGGCTGTTTTGGTAATGTTCGCTGTGAAAGGCACACATAGAGTTACCTCCCTTATGGAAATCGTAGGACCTGATAATCTTTATTAAATGAATCATTTCCAAATCATTAGAACACCTCGGCTTTCGCTTTATATAAGTATTAGTCGTCGAATAATGGAATATATATATGAAAATAAGGGAACCGAACTTTAACAATAATCGCTTAAAGTTATAAGTTAGTCCAGGCAAAACCTGACATTAAATGTACATGCTTAGTCATTTACAGCTGGGTTGACTGGAATAATGAGAAAAGATGACTTATTCAAGGTCACCAGAACCATCTCTGCCGACGGAGATTCGAACCTGGTTCCAGATAACCAAGCAAATTACAACGCTCTAACCGGCAGACCTACAGCCCGTCGTCATAAGTTGCTATACCGCTCAAAGAACCAAACCCAGTACAGAGAATTTTTCCTGCAAATAACTATTATATGGAAGATCAAAGAATCATTATGTTTTCAGGTAACCATGTGAGAAATGTTGATCTCTCGAACATTAAACATTATAATACTGAGATTATGTCACTTCAATACCATTAACTTTTAGTACAACTGTTTTTATATTAGTATAACTCTTTCTATATTAGTACAACTATTTTTTATACGCCCACATGAAATGGGGGGCGTATATTGCCGTCACCTCTTTCCGTCGGTCCGTCGGTCTGTCCGTCGGTCTGTCCACAATTGCTCTTGACTGATTTCGACGAAACTTGGTTTGGTTGTTTGTAATCACCCAAGGATGAACCCTATCGAAAATCAGAAAAATTGAAAAATATTTAGTAATAGTTATTGCCCTTGTTGATGAAAACGCGTTCAATTTTAGCTTGTAAACCCTCTAGAAAGCACAATTCTTGATGGATTTTGACGAAACCTGGTGTGAGTGTTGGTTATCACCCAAGGATGATATTAGTACAACTGTTTTGTTTTTATAGTAGTACAACTGTTTTGTTTTTATAGTAGTACAACTGTTTTGTTTTTATAGTAGTAAAACAGTTTTTATTTTAGTACAACTGTTTTTATATTAGTGCAACTGTTTTAATATTGGTACAAATGTTTTAATATTAGTGCAACTGTTTTGTTTTTATAGTAGTAAAACAGTTTTTATTTTAGTACAACTGTTTTTATATTAGTGCAACTGTTTTGTTTTTATAATAGTAAAACAGTTTTTATTTTAGTACAACTGTCTTTATATTGGTACAACTTTTTTTATATAAGCACAACAGTTTTTATATTAATATAAGGCGACTGTTTATATCTTTGTATACTGTTTTTGTTTTGGTATAACTGTTTTTATATTGGCACACCTGATTTTAAATATTTGTATGTTGTTTTTATTTTAACACAACTGATTTTATATTTGTATGTTATTTTTTATTTCAATACAACTGTTTTTATATTAGTACAACTGTTTTATATTAGTATAACTGTTTTTATATTGGTACACCTGATTTTAAATATTTGTATGTTGTTTTTATTTTAACACAACTGATTTTATATTTGTATGTTGTTTTTTATTTCAATACAACTGTTTTTATATTAGTACAACTATTTTTGTATTAATATGCTGTTTTGTATTAGTACAACTGTTTTTGTATTGTATGCTGTTAGAGATTTTACACCTAGATATGCTGATTGGGCCGATCTTGCTAGCATCGATTGGCACCATTCCAATTTCCAATCAGACGTCTGTAGTTCTGGCATTATCACTAAAACTAAGCGTTAATTATGTACCTATCATAGAACGTTTGGATTTTATTAGCAACGATAGAAATACCGGCAAACATTTAAGTTTTTACTGGAATTGAGAGAACCACAGACGTGGTAATGTTGCAAATCGATGCTATCATTGTGTACAATACAAAGTATAAAAGTATAAAAAACCTCTTTACAACCCTTATAGAGTCGAACATGGAAGCTAATATTTATTTTTGTGTAAATTAAGTTCTGTTTACTGGATTATTTGTGTAGGTGTGAAGTGTGTTGAAGATGGGTTCTATATAATTTAGACTTGTATAAATATTAGCTATATTATTATGTAGTGAAGAAATAATGTGGATAACCCTGAAGGTTTTAAATTGGATAGGAGGGTGGGGGTAAAATATCAGGCGATATCAGATTAACTGTTTTACCATTGAGTTAACGCATCATTTATATATAAAAAATTGAACAATATAAAAATACCACGAAAATTGAGCTCGTAAGGTGAACATACTAGCGGCAGTAATGGTTCAGTTATAAAGTTTAGAGGTCCGGGATTCGATCTCGGCATAGGTCAATATCATTTATCTTTTTTACCGAGTTCCCGTCAACTTGCTCAAAGCCGTAGTTTCTGAAGCGTCTAAAAGCGCACATGACGTAATGGCTTAAACATTGTTAAAAAAAAATGGCGCGAATATACACACCACTTTCTCTCCAAGTTCAACTGAATCTCTATTGTATTTGCAAATCGATTTATGTGATATGGTATTCATGGTATATTAATAAATCAAGGGCAACAATTCAACAACCATTTATCAAAAATTCTCGAATAACAAACTCGTCCAATATTCAATACATATCCCGTTTCATCAAAATCAGATAAAACAACCTCTATTGTGTTCAAATGTCACTTACATACGGACAGGCAATAATGTGGGCGTATAAAAAAAAAGTAAGACGAGACATTCAATGTAATTTTGTTTTATTAGTTTAATTCAGGGTTAGAGGTGGTGTGTAGTCGGAGTTAGTGTGGTGTGCAGTCAG